AACCTCAGTGTGGCTGCTTCCTGTTGAGACACAACAATGGCTGTGATTGGACCTGGCTGTGTGTTGACAGAACCCAGGGCCTAATGCAGAACCACAGGCTCCTCTGGGCCTTCTGCTTTGCTTCGCCATCATCTTCTTCCTCCTCTTTTGCCTTCTCTTCTATCTTCTCTCTTCCTCCACATTCTTCCTGTCTCCTTTCCTCCCCCTAAAAATGTAAATGTAAAGATATTCTTGCACACAGAGTCTGGCTCTTGGGCCAAGACCAGAGATGCTAGGAGAGGAGAGGACTCCAATAAGAGGGTGAGGGTTGCAGGATCCCTGGAGTCCTTGTTGAGCTTTATCTTTGGAGCAAAAGATGGAGTTCATGGCTGCCAACCCCACTCAGCAGAGCACCAGAAGTCTGTGTAGTTTGGAACATGTGACAGATGTTGGCCTCTACCCATCTGGCTGTGTTGTGTCACTGTCATCCTTTAGCATCCATGTCCTAGGGTTTCTGCCACGCATCTCCCTGCAAAGCAAGCCCCAGGGGAGAGCCAGGATTTCAGCTGGCCTGCAGCCTCCTATCAAATTCCACCCCCCACTGGCTGGCGCTGGTTATAGACCACTCCTCAAATTGTGGAGGTACAAAAGGTGACCTGGCTAGGTCTCTATGTGCAGTCATCTTTACAATAGAGACAAAGCTACCTCCATCTTACTAACCACCTGGGCACCAGTTCCAGGAGTGAGCCATAGACATGCCTAGAAATTACTGCCACTGGCTGGAGAATTAGTAAAACTCAGGATTATATGTCAACCTCTGCCACCTGTTAGCTCTGAGCATGATTTGCGTGACAATCTTAGGAGAGCTGAGTGACTGAATATGTTCCCCATGGATTGGAAGTGCACCTATCACAATGTCAAGTTCAGGCAGCATAGCTATTCCTGTAAGGAGAAGCAGGTGCTGCTCCCATAGGAGCAGCCTCCCCTGCCTGAGCTCGCATTTGACCAAGTACAGTATAATGGACTTGGTGTGATCTTGATTGACAAGAAATTGCCAGCTAGCATCAAGGCAGGCTACTCAGAAATCCCACCCTCCAGTCCTTTGTGTGTGCATGTGTGTTATTCACAAATGTGCACATGTATGCCTTTTCTCTCAAATCAGAATTCTGGCTGCACAGCGTTTCTATTGGAACTCAGCACTTCTCACACTTAATTCATTCCCTTTGAATCCATCACTAGTACTCAAAACTGCTCCTGAGCCATTGCTGATTTGAGGTCTGGAGACATGGCTCCCAGCAGCCACAACCATGCACTCCTCCGTGTGAACTTGGATTGGACAAGCAAATGTAAGAGCAAGAGCAAGTGGATGTTGTGATCTAGACCCTTTTCCTGTTCCACAAGTTCAACCCTGACCCAGAAGGACAGGACAGGACTAAGCTTGAATTAGTTCCAGCTACCCCACCCCAGGGCCTAGTGCCCAAGGCTTCAGAGGCTTCAGGCTGGGACCAGACTCCTGCTCTCTCTTGGCACAGTACAAAGGCAAAGAAGAATTTAGGCCAATCCGTTAAAGGAAGCTTTTCCTATAATCAGGAAACTTCTGAAACTGTCTACTTATCTGACTCACCAAGGTCCGAGCTGCATGATCTCAGGCTATCTCTCTGGGCCTCAGTTTCTGCATCCATCATACAAGAGTAGTAATGAAAGCTTTCTCACTAGGGTAAGAAGTCAGTGTGAAAAATTGAGCACTTGATACATCTCTCCATCCTGTTTATAAAAAATGCTTTAAAATAGAACTACTAGAATGAGTGAAGAAAAATTATTTTTCTGTGTAGGGGTCCTATTTCAGTGAAACATATTTTTACTGGGAAAAGGTCCATACAACAAACAGAGCTAACAATAATCTTAGTGATTATCTTTGGATGTCTATTAAATGCCAGACTCTGCGCTGGCTACTTTGCATGCATTGTGTTATATGTCATGGGAGCTATAGGCCCTACATATCCCATTTTGTGGATGAGGAAAGTGAGGCACAGAGGGGTTGAGCTACTTCTCCAAAGCCACAGAGCTAGGAAGCATAGCAGCTAGGATTTCAGAGGTCAATATCTTGGCCTCTCTCTTCTGAATCCAGAATTGTCTGAGATTTGGTCTCTGTATTGTGGACAGGTCTTGTAGGAAGAGTTTATGTTGTGCAGAGGTGAGAGATGGGGGTCAGAGGCAGGCTTTTTTTTTTTTTTTGCCAGTAGTGGGGTTTAAACTCAGGGCCTGGCCACTGTCTCCTAGATTTTTTTTTTTCGCTAAGGCTAGCACTCTACCATTTGAGCCAAAGCTCTATTTCTAGTCTTTTGGTGATTAATTGGAAATGGGAATCTCATGGACTTTCCTTGCCCAGGCTGGCTGTGACTCTCAAACCTCACATCTCAGCCTTCTGAGTAGCTAGGACGATATACATAAACCACCAGTGCTCAGCCAATGGAGGGATTTTGACAATCAAGCTCCACTTTCTCTCTTGCCTAAGGCTCAGGATTCTATTAGTTGTCCCTTCTTTGGAGCACCCTGCCTCACTGGCTATGACATAATGCAGTGTTCCCAAACCTGTTGGAGGTTCACATAAGGTAGCTCAGTAGACTGCAAGTCTCCAGACGACTGGGAGAACTAAAAAGGGATACAAGTATGATTTCTCTACTTCCTCCTCACCCCAGGACACTGTTCCTGCCATTTCCTTTTCTAGGCCTTTCCATATGCCTGCCTGTGTAAGCATACTGACAGACACATCAGTGGATGTGTGCTTATGAATGCATGCTGTACATCACGGGACAGAGTATCAAACACAATGGTACTACAGGCAGTGTGTGTGTGTGTGTATTGGCACTGGGTCTTGAACTCAGGGCTTCCTACTCTCACTTGGCTCTCTCCCTCAAGACTGGTGGTCTACTACTTACTCCACACCTCCATTTCTGACTTTCTGATGGTTAACTGGAGGTAAGAGTCTCAAATTTGTCTGTCTGCACTAGCTTTAAACTGTGATCCTCAGATCTCATATATATATGTGCATATGTGTATATATATATATATATATGTATATGTGTGTGTGTATATATATCAGTGAAAAATCCTGCAAAACTTCCCCACTAAGGCTTTCCTCTGGCAGCAAATTCAGGAAACTCAACTTTCAACCACCTCCCTCTAGCCCCAGCCACATTTAGTAGCAGATGATTTTATTACAGGAAGTTCTCAGAATGTTCACTGTAACCTGGCCAGGCAGAAAGGTGAAATCCTCATTTGTAGTCATTTGGGCTTTGATACGATTGCCTTATCAGCGTCCTGGCCACTGACTGGGTTGCTCAGACTCCAGGCACCTGTGCTACTTGGAGCCAGAGGCCTAGGGTGCTCACATTGTCAAGGCTGCTCCCCTCTGCCCCCCATCAGGTGGGCTACTACAACAATCACAGGAACAGTCTCCACAGTGTGTGTGTGTGGGGGGGGGAGGGCGGGGAGGGGAGGAGGTATTTAACAAGGAGTTTCAGGCCCCTGGCCTCATTTTACTGAATGGCAGGATGAAGCAGAGGAGGGCATACCCCAACATTATGCAGGATTCCTCAGTGCAAGGAAGATTCCAAATCCTTCAGATTCAGTGGCATCTATATTGTTGAGTAAGTATTTCTATTACCACCTCCTCCCTTATTAAACTGGTGACAAAGGCAGGAGAAGGTTCCTTTTGTCCTAAAGTCAGTGTAGGCTTCAGCCATCTTCCTTCTTATTCTCCTCCATTTCTATCCATGGTGAAAGAAGAGCAGGGGAAAGCCATTAGAGCATGCCCACTCCACTCCCCAAAAAAATCTTTAAGATACCAGGGGCTGGCACTGTGCGCATAGGTCACAAAGCGCAGATTTCTCTCAGGTCATCCCAGAGTCCAGATCTCCTGGAAAGCAGCCCTGTACAAACGACCCTCTTGCCACCTTGGCCAGGGAGGCAAGCAAGGTACTTCTGGCTCCAGGGGAAGAGGGTCCCGCAGGAGGTGCTGGCTTTCAGAGCAGCTGGGAACAATTTCCTAAGGAGAGGTCAAGTCCCTGAAATACAACTGCAGCTGGGGGGACTGTTTCTCCATTTTAAATATCCTGGGTCTCTCCCCACACCACCATCACCACTCCCCTAACACAGCTAGGTGTTTTCTATAGAGTTCACCTCCTACTTCTCTTAATGGGGAGGGCAAAGTAAGACCTTGGGTTGGCTTTAGGCCTCATCAAAAATTTTAATATAGCTTTTTCTCCACCCCAATTGAATTTTATTTGTTCACTAGCCTGACACATTAATTTTAGTTTTTCCTTCCTGGACTCAATTCACCCATATATCTACATAGATAGATAGATAGAGACAGACAGACAGACAGACAGACAGACAGTGTTTCATCTCACACAAGAGGCTCAAATTCCCGATGATTTAATTGATCATGCCAATAGTCTGGCTGCCTGGAAGAATCTACATCCTCCATTGTCCAAGTAGAAATAGAAACCTTTCCCTTGTCCTCCTCCAGGAGTCCTACCCTCTACAAGGGTCTTAAAGCAAGCAAGCAAGCGCAAGCGTGCACACACACACACACACACGCACACACACACAAAGGCACAGATGGGAAGTTGCTGGAAGCCCAACGGCTTTTTTTTTTTATTCAAAAATTCGTTTCAGATGCAAAATCAGGTGGGCAAGTCTTCCGCCACCACTGCTGCTTCTTCAACCGTCCTCCCACTACCCGCCCCCGCCAACACACACAAAATTCCTCTGCGAGCCAGCTCAGCCCCGGAGTCCCCAACTCAGTAAAACAAGACCTGTTAAGAACCCTCCTGCTCTCCACTCCACCGTGAAGCGCACCCTGGACCCAGCTGGTCTTGGCAGTCCCATCTCGCCACTGCCGCGAGTCCCAGGATGTCCCGGTCCGGGCTGCTCGGAGGCACGTCGGCGGTGGGGTGGGGGTCTCGCGCGCAGTGCCCCGAGTGGCCGGCGGCCACCCGCCCCTGTGGCAGGGCCGGCGAGGGCGGCGGGGCGCGGCGCTCAGTACAGCCCCAGGATGGCGGCGCCCACGTCCTTGGAGGGCCGGCGTTCCTGCACCAGAAAGTTGATCATGCTTTCGGACTTGATGAGCAGATTGCAGCCCAAGAAGAAAACGCCGAAGACCACGGTAAGCGACAGCACACAGAGCACGGCGATCTGCGCCACGCGCGACACCCACAAGCTGCGCTCGTCGGGCGCCAGCCCCGCGGGGACCCCGTCGCTGGCGGCCAGCGGCGCGCCCCCGGGACAGCAGTCCAGCCACGTGCCCAGGCCGTGGCTGCGGTTCCCCAGCGCGCCCCCCGCGCCGCTGCCCGCGCCGCCCACCTCTTCCAAGCCGCTGTGGTTGAGGAAGGTCGCGTTCATCGCCGCTCGGCGCCCGGGGTCTCGGCGCGCGGTCCGGGGGGCGCACGCGGGGAGGCTCACGGCGTTCGCGCGCTCGCGGGAACGCTTCGGGCCCTCGGATCGCTCGTGCGCGGGGAGGAGAGGGAGGCGGGAGGCTGCCCACGCGCGGGCACTCTCTTGGATCGTCTAGCTCTGGGCACCTGGACGAGAAGCGCTGGCCTTGGAGGAGCGAGCAACAGGCGGCGGCGCGAGAGCGGGAGCGCCAGGCGAGAGCGGGGCGCGCCTAGCCGTCGCCCACGGAGCTCCGAGCTTGCCGGACTGCCCCGCCCCTTGGCAACGGCCCCGCCCCGCCCCGCCGAGCCCGGTGGCGACGGGGAGGAGTGTGGGGGAGAAGGAGGGAGGGCGGGAATCCCGCCGGGATTGCAGCCTTTGCCGAGAACCCACGGGTGGAAAGGGGCTGGAAGGGGTCGGGAAATCCCGACAGCTCCTCCTCCCTCTAGCCCAGCGACTGTCTGTTTTGGGCATGAAAATCTTCCCAAGGTGTCCATTCCAGTATTTGGTGCTCTTAGAGGTTAAGTTCTTCGGGAAATCTGATCTAAACCTCTTCTCTCTTTACTTAAGGTTGGGTGAGCTTTAGGTTGCTGCTGTGTCCTGTGATGTTGCCCCTGCGCTGAGCCCCGAGGGGGGCGCATGGGGAGCTGGCCGCGTTTCTGCTCAATGACAAGTGTTCTCTGCCCCATCACCACATCCCATCCCTGCCCCTCCATCCCACCCTTATTTAATTTTTAAAAATGTTTTGTTATTATAAAGGTGATGTACAGAGGGGTTAACATTTAATTGGGGGGAGGAAGGGGGTTGGTCGTGGGGCTTGAACTTTGGGCCTGGGCGCTGTCCCTCAGCTCTTCAGCTCAAGACTAATGCTCCTCCACTTGAGCCACAGTGCCACTTCCAGTTTTCTGGTGGTTAATTGGAGGTAAGAGTTTCATGGACTTTCCTGCCTGGGCTGGCTTTGAACTGCAGTCCTCAGATCTCCCCATGAGTAGCTAGGATTACAGACATGAGCCACCGGCGCCCAGCTCTTATTTAATTTTTTTGGGGAGGGGGGGCCTGAACTCTGGGCCTGGGCGCTGTCCCTTAGCTCTTCAGCTCAAGGCTAGCGCTCTACCACTTGAGCCACAGCACCACTTCCGGCTTTTTTCTTTTTGCTTATATGGTGCTGAGGAATCGAACCCAGGGCCTCATGCATGCAAGGCAAGCACTCTACCACTGAGCCATCTTCCCAGCCCCTCTTATTTAATTTTTAATGAAACAAACTTACAGAAAAATTTGGTAAACTAGTTTAAAAGCATGGGGTTGCAAATTTTTTTTTAAAAAAACTAAAATTTCATAATTCTACCATCTAGCAAGGATCAATGTTATCACCTAGGTACACATTCTTCCCAGTCTTTTCTGTTTATGCGGGCCCATGTTCATGCCTATGGTAATTGTGCATGCTAGTTTTTAAAAAAATTATCTTTAAGTAGCTGTATAAAAGAGTTGCCATTTAACAAAGCAGTTTGATCTTGATAGTTGGTCTTCTGCTTTTGACTAATTTGATTTCTTTAGCAAAGTGTTCAGTTCTAGATTTTCCCCATTTTCTGACTTCGATGGACCCTGGACTTGGAGCCCATGCCCTTGACTGAATTAAGCTGAAAATGGATGTATGTGCAAAGAAAGGAGGTAGTTGTTGGGCACTGGTGGCTCATGCCTATAATCCTAGCTACTCAGAAGGCTGAGATAATGAGAATCACAGTTCAAAGCCAACCTGGGCAGGAAAGCCTGTGAAACTCTTACCTGCAGTTAACCAGCAAAAAGCCAGAAGTGGAGGTTTGGCTCTAGTGGTAAAGTACCAACCTTGTGGGGAAAAGGCCAAAAAGATGGCACCCAGGTCCTGAGTTCAAGCCCTAGTACTAGGGGATGCATGCACGCACGCGTGCGCACGCACACACACACACACACATGCACACAGTTGACATGTTTACTTCTTCCAGTTTTGTTTTACTTTGTAATTAGGGACAAAATAAAAGAAGCTAACTGATCAAGTCCTGGCTATTTCGGGCTGGTGGCTTTAGGAGCAGCTATTTGGCTTCCTGGGCTATTGTAGCAGGTTTTTGGTCAGAGCTCTATTTGTACACATACTGTGGCCACTTCTGTGTATAGATATCCTGTAAGTCAGGAGTAGGGATCCTGCGTGGCCTGAACACAGCCAGCTGTTCCTGCCCAGTGCTCCCTCTTTCTTTTTCTCCCTTCTGTCCTTTCCAGGGCCACTGGTCCCAGTCTATTTCGTTGCTATGGGTGTGCATTAACTCTTCAGTATTGTGTTAACCATGGAAGGCAAAGGTCCTTGATTGCTGGTTTACAAATCCCACACATTGAGCAAATTCCTTCTCTTATTCTTTCTCACAGTTTCTAAGAGCCAGGAATCTGGAAGCAACTTAGTTGGTTGTTGGTTCTGGTTCTGAATTCCTCATGAAGCTGTGGTCAAGATGTTAGCCAGGCCACAGCCTTCCTCAAAGCTGGACTGAGGGTAGCAGGTGGACCCCCAATACCACCCTTTCAGTAAGAGGATGTCAGTAAGAGGCCTCCACATTTTGCTAGTTCTTGGCTGGGAGATCTTAGTCTCCTGCCATTGGCTACTGGTTTCTCTGTGGGGCTGCTTCAGGGACTTCATGTCACAGCAGCTGCCTTGTCTCAGAATCATTCTTTCTTTTGTCATTAGTCCTGGGGCTTGAATTCAGGCCTGGATGCTGTGTCTTGGCTTTCTCACTCAAGGCTGGTGCTCTATCACTTGAGCCACAGCTCTATTCTGGCATTATTATTTTATTTTTTGGTGGTGGTGGTTAAAGATAACAGTCTTATGGACTTTTCTGCACTGGCTAGCTTCAAACTGCAATCTTCAGATCTGTTTCCTGAGTAGCTAGGATTATAGGTGTGAGCCACTGAGACCCAGCTCTCAGAGCCCTTTTGAAGAATATGCCAGAAGGTGAACCACTGGAAGGGGAACAGAATGAGGTATTCACTCTCATTGTTGTTTATCCAGTAAGCTTTGTGGAAGGTCACTAACTCCTATTGACAGATGAGAAAATGAAGACTCAGAAAGGAGAAAAATCTTGCTTGAGGCCACATAGCTGGAAATGGGTACTGCTAGGGTTTAAACCCTTTTAGTTATCTTACAAATGAGCCCAAACATGTGCCAACATTTGCTAGGCATGAGCGGGGATGTGTGAGAAATATTTGGCTGTCAGGGAAACACTGGAAGTCTAAGGCCTAAGGAGGAGTTGGGTGCCAATCAGATTGTCTCCCCTTCTCTGGAAAAGCAAGGGCCTTTGGGCCTAGCTGCCACCCACATAGGACTATTTTTGCCCTCTCCCTCAGTGACAGCCTCATCTCCCAGCTCTGGAAGGGCCATGTGGGCAGTCTGGCTTCCCAGGAGAGGATCTAATGTCCTGTTGTCCCTGCAGCTGGTTCTGAATGAACTGGACCCTAGGGCATGGCTGGCTGGTGAGGGTCAGTATGAAGTACCCTTCCCCACACCCAGAGATTGAGAAGACCTCCCTAATTAATGCTATTGACTGGTTAGGTCTGTGGGAACTGAAATGTCTGCTTTGGAGGCTATTGTTAAACATTCATATCTTAAACAAGGTTAATAAAGTACTCCCCACCATGCCCAAGCCATTGTAAGGAAGAAGTATAAATGATTTAATTTGCATATTTAACTATACCCCCCTTCTGCTTAGAAAAATGCAAATAGATATCTGACAAGACAATGTACTTCCAGAAAGCCTGCCTTGAGAGCCCTTGAACAGAATTAATTTGGGGAAGTCATTTTCAAACAGCATCCCCTTGGATCTGTTTATGCTATTCTTTTTTTCCTCTCTCTCTATTTCTTTCTCTCTCTCTTTCTTTCTTTCTTTCTCTCTCCCTCCCTCCCTTCCTCCTTTCCTCCCTCCCTTCTTCCTCTCTTCCTTTCTTCCTTCCTCCCCCCTCTCTTTCTTCCTTCCTCCCTCCCTCTCTCTTTCTTTCTTTTCCTTCCTTCCTTCCTTCCTTCCTTCCTTCCTTCCTTCCTTCCTTCCTTCCTTCCTTCCTTTCTTTCTTTCTTTCTTTCTTTCTTTTGGCAAACTCTTCCTGGAGCAGGCAAAGGTTGCTTTCTACCTAGTTCCTTTCCAAACAGACTCACATTTCACTTTGGCAGAGGGATGCTACTGACATTTTACTACATCTGGTACAAAATTCAAATAAAGCCAGGCATAGGTGGCTAACGCCTGTAATATTAGCTACTCAGGAGGCTGAGATCTGAAGATCGAGGTTGAAAGCCAGTCCTAGCATGAAACTCCATGAGAATCTTCTCTCCAATAAACCACTCAGGAAACCAGAAGTGGCGCTGTGGCTCAAATGATGGAGCACTCACCTTGAGCTGAGGAGCTGAGGAACAGTGCCCAGGCCCAGAGTTCAAGCCCCAAGACCGACAAAAAAATAAAAATAAAATAAAATTCAAATAAACATAGCTTGTCCTGTGAGTGAGCCCCTGCCTTGCTTAACAGAAGTGAGTGGGTGAAAGCAGAGAGAGGGAGACCCACTGGTGTTCAGGTCACAGTGGTTTTACGCAAAGCAGTGAGCAGTGGCTTTGAGGTCTCTGCAGCTGTGGAAAGGGGCAGTGCAGGTATCAGTGCCACCCAATGGGGAGAAGAGGCTTCATGGCCCCCTACCTCCTGCCATTTTCTGCCTTTGGTCCTATCTGTCTATCTGTCTGTCTATATATCATCTGTCTGTCAGCCTGCCTGCCTGCTCACCTGTCCATCTGTCTGTCTGGCAGTGGAGTTTGTACTCAGGGCCTGCTGTTGGTGCCCTAACACCTGAGCCATGCCTTTAGCTTCTTTTCCTTTTAGTTATTTTCAGGTCAAGTTTTGAGACAGCCTCATCATACCTCAGTCTCCCTAGCTGTGCCTCCCTCCTTGCTAGAAGGACAGACCATATACAAGGCTGTTGTTAATTCTTTTTTGGGGTGGGGTAGGGGGATGGGGTGGGGAGGTAGAGGAGGTAGGGTGTGGGGGTGGTGGCATGGGCTGACCTCAAACCTCTACCCTCCAGATCTCTGCCTCCTGAGTACTTAGGATTACTTAGTCCT